GTGTCGAAAAAGGACGCCTACCCGCTGCCGAATATGAACGGCATACTGGACAAACTGCGTTCGGCGCGTTACATCTCGACGATCGACCTGAGCCAAGCTTACTTTCAAGTGCCCCTCGCGAATGAAAGCCGCGAAATTACCGCCTTTAGCGTTCCGGGGAAAGGCCTGTATCAGTTTACGCGGATGCCGTACGGCTTGACGGGAGCGCCCGCGACATTTCAACGGTTACTTGATCGACTGATAGGACCGGAGATGGAACCGCATGCTTTTGCGTATTTAGATGATATTGTGATCGTGACGCCAACTTTCAAAGAGCATTTAGAATGGCTGGATCGCGTGTTGCAAAAGATCCTCGCTGCCGGATTAACGATCAATCCCGAGAAGTGCGAATTTTGCCGCGCACAAGTTAAATATCTCGGTTTCATTGTGAGCAAGGAGGGATTATCAGTAGATCCGGAGAAGGCACAGCCGATTCTCGAGTACCCGGCCCCTACGAATTTAAAACAACTCCGACGATTTCTGGGTATGTCGTCCTGGTATCGGAGGTTTATTCCTCAATTCGCGACGCGGAGCGAACCGCTAACGCGCCTGTTAAAGAAAGATCAGCCGTGGAAATGGACCAACGAACAGGTCCACGCGTTTGAGGAAATTCGATCGTATCTCGTTGCCGCGCCCACGTTGTCGCGACCCGATTTCAGCATTCCGTTCGTCCTTCAGACGGACGCTAGCTCGGTCGGAATAGGTGCCGTGCTTACGCAAACTATTAACGAGGAAGAACACGTAATCGCTTTCGCGAGTAGAGCCTTAGCCGATCCGGAAAAGAGATACACCGTGACGGAGCAGGAATGCTTAGCCGTTATCTGGGCTATAAAGAAGTTTAGACCGTACTTAGAGGGCTATAAATTCACGGTGATTACCGATCATAGCAGTCTGCGATGGCTTCACAACTTAAAGAACCCAACAGGTCGACTCGCGAGATGGGCGTTAGAGCTTTTGGAGTACGATTACGAGATCATACACAGGAAAGGCGCGCTACATCACGTGCCTGATGCGTTGTCGCGAATGTTCGAGGGTGACACCGAGATTCCCATTGTCGCCGCTGTAGATGTCGAAGAAAACGCGAACACGAACGATGCCTGGTATAAGAAGCGTCTTACGGAAGTCGCCACGAAAGCGCGTCCGTTTACCGATTGGAGAATAGTGGACGGACAACTATATTTCTGTCGACCGAAGCCGGTCGTGTCGGAGATCGTCGAGGATCTGGATAGGTGGAAACTCGTGTTGCCTAGAGAGTTGCGGAGAGACGCGTTGAGAGAGGCACACGACGAACCGCGATCCGGGCACCTCGGGGTTGAGAAAACCTACCACCGATTAGCCGTTCGTTATTACTGGCCGAACATGTTTAGAGATATCACGGACTATGTGAAACGGTGCGAGGTTTGTCAACGAACTAAGGTAGAACAGGCCAGCCCTGCGGGTTTAATGGGCCACCGCGTTGTCGACGCTCCCTGGACCGTAGTAGCTGCCGACGTAATGGGACCGTTCCCTCGAAGTAAGTCCGGTTTCACATACGCCCTCGTTATCCAGGATTTATTTACAAAATGGATCGAGTGTTTCGCGCTAAGGGCAGCTAACGGTAAGAAAATCGTCGAGGCGTTAGACGAAGTCGTGTCGCGATGGGGTACGCCGAAGTTTCTGTTGACCGACAACGGGACAGAATTCGTCAACCATACCCTAGTAGCTTTCGCAAAGGATTACGGAATCACAATTACTAACACTCCCCCGTATCATCCCCAAGCGAATCCGACGGAACGCGTGAATCGTATCGTGAAGACGATGATAGTCGCGTTTATCGAGCAGGATCACCGAGAGTGGGATGAGCACTTGGGAAAGTTTCGTTTTGCGTACAATACCGCTCATCACTCCTCGATTGGTACCTCGCCCGCGTTTTTGAACCTCGGACGAGAATTATGGCCTCCGAAAACTATACGCGCAAGATATAATGAAGTTGTCGACATACAACGTAGAGACCCAGCTGAGTGGTCAGATCGTATGAAGGCTATTGCGCCTTTGCGCGACTGGGTTTCCGAGAATCTCGAACAAGCCTATCAAAAACAGTCACAGTATTACAATCTGAGACACCGCGATGTCGCGTACAAAATCGACGATATGGTACTCAAAAGACAGCACGTACTGTCAGCCGCGTCGAAAAATTTTGCCGCCAAGTTAGTGCCAAAGTTTCATGGACCGTTTCGAGTTAGCAAAATATTATCGCCTGTCGTTTATGAGCTCACCGATGTAGAGGGTAGAATCGTTTCAAAGGTACATGCAAAAGACCTCAAACCCTATCACCTTCCTCGCTTCTAGATAGTTGTCGGAACCCTAGTAGGAAAAGGATCTTTTCCTTCTAGCCCTTACTAGTTTTTTTTTGTTGTTGTCGATTGGTGGCCGCTGAGGTTTTTCTTTTGTGTAGATATAGTTAATAAACAAGGAGAGAGGCCTCCGGCCCACCTAATCGTACTACGCTGAGTGACCTTTCTTTGCCGTCCCTTCTGCGAATTTTGCATGTGCCACGTGAACATTGGAGCGAGACCGTTCGCTCCACCAATGACCGCTATTAATAGAGTAAAGCCGTCGATACGGGGAGAGAGAAATCAGCCGCTGTCGAGTCATCGCCCTGGTATCATTTCAAGGTACCCAGTACGTAAGTAGTAGGCGAATGGATGACGGCGTCGGTTCCTGGTCGGAACCTTCCCCCCGGTCCTTCTCTGGAAAGGGGGAGTTGTGACGTGACAAATTGAAATTGTCCGTCACAAGGGCTGAATGGCCCGATCGGGGGAGGGCACGGGACCTCTGCTCTCCCGAGACAGTGAGAGAGAGAGAGAGAGCGTGCGTGCGAAAAGCGCGGGATCGGACGCGAACCCGCTGCTACGCGTTTCCATATATTTTTTTTGTTGTTTTGTTGAGAGTTAGGATTATTTCGGCGGCAGACAGGATGTGCGACGAGTCTCAGCCGATAGAGAAAACCTGGAGGAGAAAAGGGAAGGCATAGGAAGCAGGACGACGGGGACCCCCTTCGTCAGGGACATGCCCGGTAAGCCCAAAGTTAAAATTTCTTCACCAAATATCCGACAACGGAGTAGGTGCCACTGCCTGAAAATTTGTACCTTCCAGGGGCGAACAGGGGATGGCCACTCGGGTGCAACAAGCACCCGAGTCCCCGCATACGGAGCGCCGGCAGGAGAGCTGCCGCCCCCGGGACTTCCGGAATCCCGAAGGAGAGCCAGGAGCGGCCCTGCCGTGCGCTGCCGCGACGACCGCCTACGAAGGGCAACCCGCGGATCAGGACTCCGCGGGTAAGGATAATTACGCGCGCGGCCGCAAGGATCACCGAGGCCGCGCGCGCGGCCGACCTGATAGCGCCGCGAGTGGCCTATCTACATAATTGGGTCACCGACGTGTCTCCTGAGGGCCCCCGGTTCGGCACTGTCTAGCGAGCGCCCGAAGAGAGCGGAGGTCCCGAGACGGAAGCGCACTTAGGGAGAGCGAAAGAGGAGAGGACGATAAGGATCGTTATAGGACTGGTGAGACGACGTGGTCATCCTGCTGTCGCCGAATTAAGGTAGCCGAGTGGATGGGTCCCGAATTACTTATCGTTAAGAGAGTATGCCGGACTTAGTTGCCGGCCAGTTATAGAATTACGAGAGATTCGTTTTATCGTCGAGTCACGGTATTAACGTAACGAAACTCCATTGGGAGAAACTATGACCCATCCACTCTCTTGCGTTTTCGCGTATTCTCTCTCCCGCGTGGACAGTCTTCGCGCGTAACATTGTCGCGCGAAAATTACCGCGATTTACGCGTTGCCGATTATTGTTCGAAGCGAAAATCAAAGAGCTCATAAACGCTTTCAGGCTCATTAAAGTATTGATAATGTAAAGTATTAATGTTGTAAAGTATTGAGGTTGTAAAGGCTTAAACGAAAAGGCGTGATTACGTTTGATTTTGTGTGTGGAATTTATGTACGGCGCACGCGGTGCGCCCTTACGCCGGCCCCTTTGTTGTCGCGCATACCGCGCGGATCACGCGCCCGCGGCGTGGAGCCATATACCCGGTGGCGCGTCGCCGATTTAATTAATCGTCTTTTCGTTATTGGGGACCCTACTTTGTTGCCGCGAATTTGTTAAAGATTATTCATAACTCGGCACGGCGAACCACCGGGCGTAGTGCCCCACCGAACTCTCAATCGTGCGTCTGTGCACGCCGCTTATTTCTTTATATTATATACTCATGTGTCTTGTGAACCAAAGTTAAATATATGTTTTACTAACTTTAATTCCTAGGGTGATTTCTTGCCGCCACGCACCCGAACCCTTACCCGCACAGAGGCTAGCCGAGCGGGAAAGTTGCCGTCGCGATCTCTCTCTCTCCCGTGATTGACGCCCGCGAAAGGGCTAGGACAAGAGGTCCGAGGAAATTAAGACTTAGCGTCCCGCGAATTTATTAATTGAGAGACGGTGCGGCTGCCGCACCTGGCGCCCAACTAAATTGAGATTTTAGTTTTCTCTTTATTATTTTTTTTTGTTTGTTGCAAATTTTTTTTTTGTGATCGAACGGAGAGATCGCGCCGAAGGTAACCGATATTCCGCAGGAGACTTTTCTCCTTCCGCGACGAATGGATATTCGCTGCGAATTCCGCGCGATACGGTTATAATATACTATTAAATTAAACTCTCTCTCTCTTTCTTTAAGACACACACGCTCGCTCTCTTTCTCTTTCTTTAAGACACACACACTCTCTCTCTCTCTCTCTCTCTCTCTCTCTCCTCTCTCTCTCTCTCTCTCCTCCTCTCTGAGACCTCTCTCTCTCTTTCTCTCTCTCTCTCTCTTTGAGACACACGCTCTCTCTCTCTCTCACACTCTCCCTCTCTCTCTCTCCCTCTCTCTCACACTCTCCCTCTCTCTCTCTCTCTCTCTCTCTAAAATTAAAATCTACTTACATTATGCTGATTTGAGCTGCATGCATTTTCGTTGCCCTCTTTAGACATCTTGGTTAAGCCGTATTATATGTCACATTAATTTAAAAAAAGTTGAAGGAAATGTATGTATAAAATAAAAATATTTAATTTAAATGTGTTACTATGGTCAAGGCATACAATTAAAGGTCTATTTATACGAATTGCACACATAATCACAAACACGTACACAAATTTTTTAAAAATTACTTCTTGGTGTGACCAAGTCAATAAATGCATATGCACATGGGTGCGTGGATACGTGGGTGGGTGCGTGGGTGGATAAATAAAGTGATAAAAATTTGTTAAAATCATATAGTAGCCATCCCGGACAAAATTTGAGTACAAATTTCGAAAAAGTCTGTGAATAAATGTTTGAATGCGTGGGTGGATGCATGGGTGGGATAAAACTTAAAAGAACCACACAGCAGCTTTCTCAGAAAAATTTGCAACATTTTTGTACCAATTTCGTGAAAATTGGTCCATAAATGCGCATGCGTGTGGGTGAATGCGTGGGTGGAGGTGTAACACTTGAAAAAACCACATCGCCGCCATCTCCAAAAAATTTGCAACATTTTGGTACCAATTTTTACAAAAATCCGTTCATAAATATGTGATTGCGTGGGTGGATGCGTGGGTGGGGGCGTAAACTTAAAAAACCCACACAGCAGCTCTCTCAGAAAAATTTGCAACATTTTTGTACCAATTTCGTGAAAATTGGTCCATAAATGCGCATGGGCGTGGGTGGGTGCGTGGGTGGAGGTGTAACACTTGAAAAAACCGCATCGTCTCCATCTTCAAAAATTTGCAACAATTTAGTACCGATTTAAAAAAAATCGGTTCATAAGTATGCGATTGCGCGGGTGGGTGCGTGGGTGGAGGCGTAAACTTAAAAAACCCACACAGCAGTTTCCTCAGAAAAATTTGCAACATTTTGGTACTAATTTCGTGAAAATTGGTCCATAAATGCGCATGCATGTGGGTAAATGCGTGGGTGGGTGAGTGGGTGGAAGTGTAACATTTAAAAAAACCGCATCGTCGCTATCTCCAAAAATTTTGCAACATTTTGATACCATGTGTTCAGAAATATTGCAAAAAAAATTTTTTTTGCAAAAACATACCCTCCTCTGAGGAAAAAAAATAAAAATAAAAAAATTAAAAAAAAAACCCCACAGCAGCCACCCCCGAAAAATTTGTAACATTTTGGTACCAATTTCGAGACAATCGGTCCACAAATGCGGAAGTAGTTCGGGTACAGACAGACAGACAGACGGACGGTGCTTATATATATAGATATAGTATAATCATGATTATTTTTCACATTTAAAGCAGTTTAAACCAGTTTGTAAAAAATGCTACATGTAAATAATATTTATTATAAAACAAACAATAGAATTTTTTTTAATAGAATCATTTCAAATTAAAAATATAAAAAAACACATAAAGCATATTCATTACAAGAAAGTATTAGATTATACATTGCTTATATAGAATTGTAAAACAATTTTTGCCGATAAAAAAATTTTTAATTATGTAGTGTGTAAAAAAAATCTTTTAAGTTACCGATGACATATCATATAAAGAATATATAAATCATAAATTAATGCAGAATATATATATTTTTAAGCAAAAGTCGAGAACGGCCTATACTTAATATAATCAATAATATAATGATCAGTTGAAAACAATTATTAAAGTAAATGCAGAAGACCTAACACGTTATAATTTTACTTCTCCAAAAATATGAAATTATACAAATAATATAAATGCATAAAATTTATTATTGAATTTATTGAATTAGATTAAATATTAAATTTTTCTATATTCGGGTTCTATTATTTGAAGTAATGATAATTTAAAGAACATAGAGCAAAAATTGAGAAATTGAATACTTATATACATTTTTATAAAATTAAATATTAAATATTTACAGTTAATTATTAAAAATGTTATAATAAATTCCAACACATTTTTTCATCTTATCAAAATTATATTCTGCTATAAAATGTTCCTAAAATTTCAAAATAAATTATACTTTATTTTTACATTTTTTAATATATTTACATAGGAGGAAATATAGGCCTAATATAATACTTAATTACGAAATTACGAAGTCCGTCAAAATAAAATATTTTTTAATGAATAAATTTTTTTCATTTTCTTACAGGAAATAAGTATTACGTTTGAGTACTGTGTATAATTATTACGTTTATATTAATTTTATCTTTTTAAATTTTAATTTATTGCTCTTCATGTTCATTAATAAATTCTCTCTCTCTCTCTCTCTCTCTCTCTCTCTCTCTCTCCCCCTCCCCTCTCTCTGTCTCTCTCTTTCTTTCCGTCTCTCTCTCTCTTCTCTTTTTCTCTCCTTTTTTCCGTCTTTCTCACTCTCTCTCCGTCTCTCTCTCGGTCTCTCTCTCTTTTCTTCTCTCTTTCTCTCCGTCTCTCTTTCTCTTTCTGTTTTTCTCCGTCTCTCTCTCTCTCTCTCTCTCTCTCTCGTCTCTCTCTCTCTCAGTCTCTCTCTTTCTTTCCGTTTCTCTCTCCGTCTTTCTCTCTCTCTCTCTCTCTCGGTCTCTTTCTTTCTAATCTAATGAATACAATAATAACACTATGATAAAGCAATTTTAAAAATCTGCTTTCAAAAAATTGATAATTTTTTAAAATAAAAGAAAACACAGACACACAATACAGGAAATATATTGTATATCATCTTTAGAAGAAATTTTTATATTACATTTTCCATCAACAATAGATTCGATCAACATCACTAATCCATATCGAATTAAAATTCATATAAAAATTGGCTGAATATTTTTGAGATATAGTATAATCATGATTATTTTTCACATTTAAAGCAGTTTAAACCAGTTTGTAAAAAATGCTACATGTAAATAATATTTATTATAAAACAACAATAGAAATTTTTTTAATAGAATCATTTCAAATTAAAAATATAATAAAACACATAAAGCATATTCATTACAAGAAAGTATTAGATTATACATTGCTTATATAGAATTGCAAAACAATTTTTGCTGATAAAAAATTTTTTAATTATGTAGTGTGTAAAAAAAATCTTTTAAGTTACCGATGACATATCATATAAAGAATATATAAATCATAAATTAATGCAGAATATATATTTTTTAAGCAAAAGTCGAGAACGGCCTATACTTAATATAATCAATAATATAATGATCAGTTGAAAACAATTATTAAAGTAAATGCAGAAGACCTAACACGTTATAATTTTACTTCTCTCCAAAAATATGAAATTATACAAATAATATAAATGCATAAAATTTATTATTGAATTTATTGAATTAGATTAAATATTAAATTTTTCTATATTCGGGTTCTATTATTTGAAGTAATGATAATTTAAAGAACATAGAGCAAAAATTGAGAAATTGAATACTTATATACATTTTTATAAAATTAAATATTAAATATTTTCAGTTAATTATTAAAATGTTATAATAAATTCCAACACATTTTTTCATCTTATCAAAATTATATTCTGCTATAAAATGTTCCTAAAATTTCAATATAAATTATACTTTATTTTTACTTTTTTTAATATATTTACATAGGAGGAAATATAGGCCTAATATAATACTTAATTACGAAATTACGAAGTCTGTCAAAATAAATATTTTTAATGAATAAATTTTTTTCATTTTCTTACAGGAAATAAGTATTACGTTTGTGTACTGTGTATAATTATTACGTTTATATCAATTTTATCTTTTTAAATTTTAATTTATTGCTCTTCATGTTCATTAATAATTCTCTCTCTCTCTCTCTCCTCTCTCTCTCTCTCTCCCCCCCCTCTGTCTCTCTCTTTCTCTCTCTCCCCCTCTCTCTCTCTGTCTCTCTCTTTCTCTCTTCTCTCTCCGTCTCTCTCTCCGTCTCTCTTTCTCTCTCTTTTTTCTCTCTCTCTCTCTCCGTCTTTCTCACTCTCTCTCTCC